TGTGTGTGTGTGTGTGTGTGTGTGTGTGTGTGTGTGTGTGTTCTTCTGGGAGCCTGGGGATAATGGCATGGCCTGAGTATTTGCCATTTTCACAGTTTATCGGGATTGCCACTGCTGAGGCCAGGTAGCCCCCCCTTTGATCAGCATATCTCCTGGCCACTGTGCTAATGATGGTGGAACATTGGAATCCCCTGTAGAGTTTACAAAGCTATGCTGAAGTTGGGACTCCTCCCCGGAAATACTGATTGTGTCTTCTGGTCCTCTGTGTAGCAATAGGCACACAGGAATGAGTATCCCTGTTCTGAAGACAGGAGAAATGTCATCAGAGGCTTCTGGTGGGCCCAGATATTGACACAGACTCTTGGGAACATCTTAGAGAGCTAATCTATAGATCCAAGCCCACTGAAGGTGCTCATGCAGCCCTGGATAACTCCCTTTGGACCCCCTGCCTCTTCTTGCCTGGGTACAGGATAATAAGTTTAAAAAACAGCTAGATTTCCCAGTGTATAAGCGTCAAGGTGTGGTATCCACTGAGCTGTGGTAGTCCAGGACACAGCCTGATTTCATATGATGCTTGATACCTGTGTTCATGGGTTTTTTTCTCCTGGGGCCATGTCCTACCACAGGCTGAATTCTTTTGAGATGATGAAAAGGGAGCACAAGCAGGTGATGTCAGACCTTCAGATATTGCCCCTGGAGATCAGTGATTCTTTGAACAAGTGCAAGCAGCTTATTGAGGAGAATGAATCATACAGGTAAGTGCCAGATTAAGCTTGTGAGGGGCTGATTATGCTCTATTTTTCTTTGACCCAATGTGAGAGCTTGGTTCTAGCCTGTCTGTTTATTAGTATCAACAGCATTGTGGCTCTTGGATATTTCCTTCTTCAACTGTTTTTGTTAAGAGTGAAAAGACACTAAGGCCCTCCTAGGTAGGAGCCCCTACATAAAAAATGGTTTGCACCATGAAGGGGATGCCAGGCAGCCCAGAGACTCTCAGGCTCAGGTGAGGCTTCACAGAGATGGTTTACATGGGACCTATAGACAGGATTCAATCTGGTTGGGACTTTTGTCCTTGTCCAGAGAGTTTGCCCCCTACTGTTGATGTTTTCTCAATAACATGAAAAGGTAAGCACAGGTGTGGGCTTTATCCTCTTCTCAGGGGCACAGTAAAGCTTTTGGTGCCAAGGTTTTCAGAAGTACTTTGAAAATTTCTGGAATTTGCTTATTGTCTGGATTTGTCCTGCTTCTGAGTAATGCTGACTTGGCTATTGTGAGTTGCAGTCTTGGGCTGACTGGGGGCCTGGGACTTGGAGGTATGGATAGCAAATGGAGGCTGGCTGGGTCTTACCATTTGTGGATGTTGGTTCAGTTACCTGCACAGCCTGATCCTCCGAGACTTGACTCAGGTGAAAAACAATGTCCATATGTTGAGAATGGAGAAGAGAAAACTGTGGGAGGAGCAGATTGCACTGCAAGAGACCTGTGAGGAGGTGAAGAGACTCTTTAAGGAGGTCCAAGAGAAGATCTGTGACCCCTGTGCTGAGTATCATCAGGTAGGCTGAGGGGGTGGGGGCACACAGGCCACCTGTCTCACCATGTAGATAGAGACATTCTTGTAACCCTGCAATCACTCAATTTGTTCCATCCATATACCAACCAATGATCATTTCTATGATCATTCACAAGTTTCTCTATAGAGTTATCCTATTGTAAGATCTTGAATGACTGGCAAGCAAACCCTCCTGCTCTGCTAGTACTGCAGTACATTCAGAAGATGGGTCAATCACATATCACATAACTATATGTCATTATATCAGGAGGGCTGTGATACAGGGAGTTACTTAGGGAATAGCACAGCACTTTCATGGATGAGGACAGAGACTATGGATCATTTGCTTTCCAGGGGTCTCATAAGATCACAGGTAGGAAGCAGTTTGCAAGGACTAGACCCCAGTGCCAATGACAAGTGAGTGGTTCTCACTGCAAACTCTAGGGGTGTGGTCGTCCCCTTTCTTCCTGCATCCCAATGTGTTCTCTTCCCTTTGCTCAACTGACAGAGGCCTGAGTATCATCTTTTCAGCCCTGTTTTCTGTGGGTGGTGCTGGACATTTCTCCCTTCCTGGAGCTTCCAGTCTGGAGCTGACTGGATGCCCATAGACGTGTGAGGACTTTGAAAGACTGAGAGTGGGGGTGATCAAATTGAATCTTCAAGAGAACATTTTGTCCAATTACTTCAACATATTTTGACTAAGTATGTGCTCCTCTAGGAATTTCTAGTCCCAGTAAGATGAATATCAGTGTAGTGGGTCTCATTGAAACACCTGATGAGCATAATCTAAATTCAACTGTCATTCAGCATGATGTCCCCTTCATTTTTTCTGCTCACTGATGGTTTATGTGGTCTTTGTGTGATGTATGCATGTGTGTGTGTAGATGTGTGCTTTGCTGTGTGTGATTGCAGAGCAGATAATGACATGTTGTGTTGTGCTCAGTTACTCTTTCCCTTATTCCCTTGAGCCCAGGGCTCTCAGGGAACCTGAAATTTTCTGTTTTGCTTAATCTGGTTGGCCAGCACTCTTCAGATCAACTGTGTCCTCCAAGGGTGGTCATGTCTTGTTTTGTTTCTTCTACCTGTTCCAACTTTCAATAGTTCAGAAAGAAGAAGGATATAGTAACTCTCTCTTCATATTACACATACTTGTTGTTTTGGAATTAATGTGTTTTGTAATAAATAACAAATATAAAACAATACAGATGTTTTAAAAACGAAAAATAGTCTTCTTTCCATACACTGCACAGATCTAACAGCACAGAAGTGTCTGATTTGTCTCATTGGCTTCACAACACGGAATCTGACAGTGCATCTCCTTGCTGACATTGTGATGCTGACTATGTTATGGGCATGGTTGTGTCTTAGAACAGATTCCCTCTCATGGTTTTGCAGAATGCTGCATTCTGGATAAGTACTGCAGGTGATGTCACTAGCCCTCTTGTGACTGACATTTGGACTGAATTCACATTATATGCAGTATAATCTGTTGAAGACTTCCTGGGTGTTGACATGTGTCACTTTCTTTCACTTTTGCTATCAAGGACTTCTGTGGAGGAGCCAGTAGGTTTAGTGAAGAGACTATGATGGACTAACTTGGGAACTATGAGATCAGTGAGTCTCAATATGGGTAAATTCATGGGATGAAAAGTATGTACACAAGAGGGTAGCAGAGCCTAGCTGAGTGTAAGATCCTTTTAGACAGTCTATTGGACCCACTATGTGCACATGCAGCAGAAAAGGTTTTAAAAAGCATCAACCTTCTCTATGGCCTTTTGTGTGTGTGTGTGTGTGTGTGTGTGTGTGTGTGTGTGTGTGT